TCGATTATCCCGAGGAGAAATCGCCATGAGACGCACCAGCATCACCAACCATGTGGTAACAAACACTGAAAGCTATGTATTCTAATGAGCTTATTTTTTGGACTTTTCTTTCTGATCAGAAAACACAGGATCAACTGCAGAAAATTTGGAAGATAAAAAAGAAAAAGATAAATAAGCGCTTATAGCTCTGGCATTCAAAAGTAACTGTTAATATAAGGGGTGCTTCAAAGAGTTCAAGGAAAACCCCACTGTCTGTTGATCCGCCTTGTTCCACACTTTGAAGCCCCCATATTTTGTGGTTTTGTCGTTTTATTACAAGTATTCCCAAGTTAGGAACATCTGGTTTGTGGGTAACTACGACTTGCCCTTTCAGGCAGGGCTTCAACCAGGTTGTCATGGCTACCAGAGCAGAGGCAGGAACAGACTGAAACTTTGTACTGTGGGTGATTCGTCATGGTGATGGGAGTGACCTGAAGAGTCCCTCACCCTTCTTTAAGACGGCCACATAATGTAGTTAGGAGAATTACAGTCTTTGATTAGATGTAACTTAGCTAGAAATCCTCCATAGGATTTCTAAGCCCCTGTCTCGTGTCCATGAATATCCTGTGAGAATGCCCAGGCTTCCTCTCTCCCCTCACTAAGGACCACCAGCGGCAAGCGAGGCTGTCTCCTGGAGATTTAGAATCCCTAAGTCATGGAAGCACTGTAACACAAGATCTTTGTTAGAGCAAAACTTTGTTTTTCCTAGTTATCATTCTAAGATAACTGTGTCTGTCTGAAAGAAGTTTCGCTCAGCCTGTGTGTGTGTGTGTGTGTGTGTGTATACACTGTGAGAAAAAAAGGGACAACGGGGAGACCAGCATTTGGAGGAAGGATCTCCTGTTCTCCTTTCCCATGCATGTGGAAATAAGACTTAGAGCAGTGGTTCTCAACCTGGGGGTCTCGACCCCTTTGAGGATCGAACGACACTTTCACAAGGGTCGTCACCTAAAGCCATATTTCTGATAGTCTTAGGAACCGAGACACCCCTCCTATATCCCTGTCCAGGCGGGTCCACCCACATGCAGATATGCCCACATACAGGGTCACCACAACATGAGGAACTGTGTTAAAGGGTTGAGGTATGAGGAAGGTTGAGACTACTGACTTAGAGTCTTTCCTAGCCACCTGATTTCTGTGATCTGGCAATGGTCACCAGCAATGTGGGTAATCGAGACTGAAAAAGTATAGGTCCAAACAAGGAATGGAGGCTCAGAAGAGGCATAGCGGGCCCTTTCAGCCTAATGAGCCTGAATTACTAACAGGACTTGGGAAAGCCATGTATATTCAGAGGTGTGGCTGGCTGTCATCTTTGACCTGGCATCACCATCTTCGCAAACCTGCTCTAAGGTTAGA